TGGGGGACATCAGTGGGTGCCACTGGTAGCAGTGAGTCACACTTCACCTTTTCAACTTGAGGGAACTCAGAATCACCTAGGAAACAAATCTCTTGGAACGAGCTTGTGTGGGATTATGTACAGATTAACTAGGATAAGAAGGCCTACCCTAAATGATGGCATCATTCCAAAGGCCAGGGTCACCATTCCAAAGGCCAGGGTCGCAAACTCAAAAAGCGTAATGGAGCTGAGCATCAGCATTCATCTCTGTCTGCTTCCTGACTGTAGATGCATGTGACCAGCCAGCTCACCCTCCTGCCACGGTGATGATGTCCCTGCTGTGGTGGACTACAGCCCTCCAACTGTGAGCCAAAACAGACCCTCTCACCCTTCAGCTGCTTTAGTCAGGAATTTTATCATAGCTAGGAAAAAATTAACACCTCAACTTTTAAAACTTGCACACACACACACACACACAGTTTCAAAAGTGTAGTCATTTATTTTCTGGAGCTTTTTATTTCCTCGTTACCATGAAAACGTTTCTGGAGTAAACTCACATTTACTGTATTTCTTCCTATTTCCTTCTCGGTCCACTGCAGTGGAGCTGTTCTGGTCATCAGTACCAGTGGAACTGCTCTTATCCAGATAACTCATGACCTCTTTCCTGTGCAAGCATTTGAGGCCCATCTCCTGGACTTCTGGTCATTATGGGTCTCTTCAGACCTCTCTGTTTGGTTTGAATAAATGACGTCCAATCATCTTCAGATTCCCCTATGTCCTCAGGCCTTTGGGGATTCCTTTGCCTTTTGATCTTTCAGTGTTGGTGCTCTTGGTGTTTGCTTTCTACTTGCCCTTCCTGGGATCTGTTAAGTCTTGCTGTGACTTAAATGTATGTGCTTCTTTGAAATCCATTATGCTGGAAACCCAGTGCAGTAAGTAGTATTAAGAGGGCTGGCCCCTCAATGAGGTGATTAAGTCATAGGCTCTGCTTTTATTAGCAGAATTAGTGTTCCTATGAAGCAGAAAGCCCTCATTGGATATCAAACATACTAGCACCTTGATCTTGAACTGTAAAAAACAATTTATACTGTTTGCAAATTACCCAGGCTAATTTTGTTATAGTAAGGCAAATAGATAAGATTGATCGCAAGACTTTGATTAGCTACAATCAACCCCTAAGAAATCCCTCTCCTGCTCTGATCTCAATTACACATCCAGCTGCATGCTGGGTATCTCATTTAGCACCCAATTCAAATCGTGAACTATGCAGTGTTGTTTACCATCTCAGTGGCTGACACAGTCACCCACAAACCCGGCACCAGCTTACCTTCATTCCATTTTACCCCAGCTCAGGTTCCCAAACTGTTCTCATTCCACCAAGTCTGTCTGTCTGTCTGTCTGTCTGGCCTTCCTCTAGTCTTGCTACCACTGCTACAACTCCAGCCTCAGTTCTTGACCACTTTAATAGATTTATCAAATTCTCATTTTCCCTCTGAAATACTGATTGGATCCAATAGCTCTTCTGCTGAGACCTCTCCGATGATTCTTTATCTGTAGGGTAATTTGCCTAACCCTCTGCCTATTATTGTAAGAGGCTTGATGTGGCTCAGGCATTGTCTGCTCTAAGTTCTCTTCCATTCCAGGAATACCCAACCATTTTTAGTTCTCTGGTATAATATCTGAATTCAGGTTTCGCTCTTTCCTATATTATTTTCTGTACCTAGAATGCTTCCTTTACAAACTATGTTGACGTACTTTGGGTACTGTCTTTTATAACAAGGTCCACAATCAAATTGATTTTTTTGTTAAACTTTTTTTAGATTTTATGTGTATAAATGTTTTGTCTGAAAGCACTTATGTGGACCATGTGTATGCCTGGTGCCCTCAGAATCAGAAGAGGGCGTTGGCTCCCCTGGAGTGATGGATGGTTGTGGGTCACCATTAGGGTTGAACCATCTCCCAGCCCTTTAAATGAGGAAGTAACAAGGATTTTTTTAACACGTGGATATTCAGTTGCCCAAGAACGATTTATTACAACGGTCATTTTTTCCTACGTGTCACTGGTTTACTCTCTGTCCTTATCCCAGTTCTGTGTGGCCCAAGTTACACTTTAGGTGCCACCATCTTGCTTTTTAAGACATGGTCCCTAGAACTCACCAATTAGGCTAGGCTGGCCAGCTAAGGAGTCCTGAAATTCACCTGTCTCCACCTTGCCCAAGCCACCACAACAGGCTTGGTTTTTTCACATGAGTTCTGAGGACTGAATTCAGGTCCTGTTTGCATGACAATGACTTTATTAACTGGGATTCCTTCCAAGGCCTATACTTCTTCTTGTTGTTGCTGTTTTCCAAGGACAGGGTTTCTCTGTGTCATTTTGGTACCTGTCCTGGATCTTGCTCTATAGCCCAGGCTGGCCTCAAACTCACAGAGATCCACCTGGCTCTGCCTCCTGAGTGCTGGGATTAAAGGCTTGCGCCACCACCACCCAGCCCCCAGGCCTATACTTTTTAAAATTACTAATAGCTGATAGGATAAATCCTCCAGCTTTACTGTCCTAGATCTGTGGTTCTCAACCTTCCTAATGCTGTGACCTTTTTATATAGTTCATCATGCTGTGGTGACCAGAAAATTTTTTGTTGCTACTATATAACTGTAATTTTGCTTTTGTTATGAATCATAAATATGTTTCCTGATGGTCTTAGGAGACTCCCATGAAAGTGTTGTTCGACCCGCCAAAGAAGTTTTGACCCACAAGTTGAGAACCACTATTCTAGATTGTCTTGGCTGTCTTTAACCTTTACATTATTCCATTTAAATTTTAGGATGAGTTAGCCAGTTTACACACATATACACACAACCTGCTGGGACTCATTAAGATGAGATTAGACCCATAGATCCCTATGGGGGATCTGATCACTGTATGCATTCAGTTGATATTCTTTCTCAATAGCATTATTTTCAGCAGAGTTCTTGGGTGTCTTTCCCAAGACTCATTCCTAGATGTAACATAACAAGTCATCCCAAAAGCTAGTGGATTTTAATCCCTTAGCCTTCTAAATGTTGTCTTATTTGAAACGAAGGTCTCTGCCTATGTCCTTGCTTCTTCTGAAACCAACACAATTACCAAGGACAAGCCCAGGCATCAATAGGTAAGCACCATGCAAGCTAGCCTGCTGTGGGATGTCTTTCTGCATGCTGTGAATATGTTGCTCTGATTGGTCGATAAATAAAGCTGCATTGGCCTATGGCAAGGCAGCGTAGAGGCAGGCAAGAAATCCAAGAGAGAAGAGAGGAGGGAGACGCCAGCGCCATCAAAGGAGCAGCAAGATGCCAGCAGACCAGTAACACCACAGTCATGTGGCAACTTATAGATTAATAGAAATGGGTAAAGGTATAAGAGCTAGCTGGAGGCTGTACATAGGCAATACAATTGGTAATTAATCTAAGCCTCTGAGTGATTATTTTATAAGTGGCTGCAGGACCACAGGGCCAGGTGGGACTGGAGAAACTTATGGCTAAATTAGCCAATCCTCAACCTTTACCTTATCTTTGTAACTCTGAGAAATGTTAAAATAGAAAAAAAAAAAAAACTTAAATACTGCCAAGAGACCAGTGCCTTCCCCCATCTCTCTGGACATCACTGTTAAAGCTCTCTTCTCCACCCGGGTGCTCGCTTTCCTCCTCTCTAATCTCTTAGAAGAGGCATTCTCCAGTTTTCTCCCTAGGGCTCTCTCTTCTGTAATGTCCTTATTAGCTGTTGAGAAACCATTTTAAGGTCCATTATTATCATCCTTCGGAGCCAGGCAAGCTTAAGATTTCCTTTTCTTGAGAAGCAAAACAGGAATTTGCTTTCCTTAAACACACGTGTACACACACACACACACACACACACACACACACACACACACACACCTTCACCCCAAGTTCTTTCCCCAAAGGTGAATGTAGACACCTTTGCTCTGTCCTTTTCTACATTCCAATAGTACCATTTTACTTCAAAGGTTTTAAATAATTGAGATGAAATTGTCACAAAGGTCCTTGATTCTTCACAATGTTTTGATTCCTAGTCTATACGCAGATTTCTTTCCACAGAAAATGCATGGGCAGTGTTGCAGAGTCGGGGTGTGAGAAAGCTTGCCTATTAAGAGGACTTGAGTGTTTTTTCTTGAGTTTCCTCTACATCTCGTCTAGCTTGTGTTCCAGGACCTAAAGGAGCTGATGTTACAGGACTGAAATGTGTCACATTCATTAGAAGCCGGAACATAAAAACCAAGATATCAATGTACAATTCACAATTAAAAGTGTAACTGTCCAAGGCAATTGCTATTCATTTGTCCATGATATTTCTCCTTGCAGAAAATAAAAATCATGGAATTAAAATATTCTTCAGGAATGTATTTGTTTAAAAAGTGGTTGATTGTGATTCAAATAAATAATGGACACATAAGGCTTCCAAAGAGAAATTCAACTATTTCCATTACCAGAACCAGTTTCTGCACCTGGGCAAAATTCTCCCTCCTTTAGACATGTAACCTGCCTAATATTTGTATCCCAGAGTTTTCTTGACTGAATTCTTCAGTAGATATATTATTTCTCAGTAACGGAATTCTCAAGAACAGTTTTGACCTTCAAAAACTATTTTACTGTTATTCCCAAATCCTGCAGGACACACACCTACAGACAGAAAGGCTGAAACAAATAGCCCTCCAAGGCCAGGCAGCATGTCATAAAACAGATATCCTTAAATCTGGTGAAGAAATGCAGTTCAGCAGAGTCTACCCAGCGAATCTTCTTCCAACTGGCAGCTGGGATCACCTGTCTCTGCAGCAGGGCTCTACTCTCTCAAGAACCGCTCCAGGCCACTACTTCAGGCCAGCATCGACCCAGAAAGCACTCACTGGGGAGGGCAGGGTTCGGTCCTCATTTTATTTCTCCACTCACGGCATTCACTTCTTATACAGCAAAAAAGAAGAAGCAAAGTGGAAAGTCTGTCCCCTCCGTCCCTCTTGACCTCATTGCAGAGATGAGCTGCCTTGCCAGGTCGTTAGGGCCAGGTCTCCTCCATCAGGTGGGACCCGGGTTCCGGGGTCGCCGTGCAAGGGCCACTACGACACCAGAGGGAGTGAACGCGGCCCGTCACCCACCCGAGGCCGCCATCTCCTCCTCACCCGAGTAGCCGCCAACCTGAGGCCATCGTCGGCCGCTCGTCCCGGGAGCAGCCGCCACCCCCGGCCGCTCGTCACCCGGGCAGCGCCTGTCTGGGGCCTCTATTCCCGGCCGCTCGTCCCGGGAGCAGCCGCCACCCCCGGCCGCTCGTCCCGGGAGCAGCCTCCACCCCCGGCCGCTCGTCCCGGGAGCAGCCGCCACCCCCGGCCGCTCGTCCCGGGAGCAGCCGCCACCCCCGGCCACTCGTCACCCGGGCAGCGCCGGTCTGAGGCCGCTCGTCACCCGGGCAGCGCCGGTCTGGGGCCGCGGACGCCACCCAGGCCGCGCCGGCCTCAGCTGGCCAACGTCCTCCGCTCGGACAGGGCACAGAGTCCGGCTCGCTGCCCTCCGTGCGTCCTAGCCGCGAGGCCAGAGCCCCGGCGTCGCCTCTCGGCCGCGAGCGGTCGTGCGCTCGCGGAACCGGCCGGGGACGCGCAGGGTCTCGGGTCTCCAGCCGGAACCTCCCAAAGGCGGGGAGATCGGGGCCGCCCCGCGAGGAGCGCGCGGCCGCGAGGGGCGCTCGGCCGGCCGGGTGGCGCGGGGCGGCGGCGGCGGGGGAGGGGACAGAGGCGGGGCCGGGGCGGGTTGTTGTGGGGCGACTGCGCTACGGCCCGACCGGGGCGGTGATGGCGGCTCCATATTAACACCTCCTCCTCCTCCGCGCTCCCGCCCGCGCCCGTCAGCCGTCTCCCCCTTCCCTGACGCCACCTCTCCCCCTCCTCTACCATGCCCGGCATGATGGAGAAAGGGCCCGAATTACTGGGGAAGAACCGATCGGCCAACGGCGGCGCCAAGAGCCCGGCGGGCGGCGGCGGCGGCGGCTCCTCGGCCAACGGCGGGCTGCACTTCTCGGAGCCCGAGAGCGGCTGCAGCAGCGACGACGAGCACGGGGGTACCTCGCCGCGCTCCCCGCCCCGCCCGCCCGCCCGGCCCCCTCCCCGCGCCCTCCTCCCCTCGGAGCCGAGCCGCGGCCGCCGGAACTCCCGGTGCCGCCGCAGCCCCGCGACCCGCGCCTCCCCGCCCCCACCCGGCCGCGGCCTCGCCCGCGCTCCCGCGGCTTGAGAGCCTCCGCCGCGCCTTTCCCCGCGCCTCTCCGAATTTATTATCATTTTACCATATTTCTTGGCATTGCTTTGCAGATGTTGGGATGAGAGTCGGAGCTGAATACCAAGCTCGGATCCCTGAATTCGATCCAGGTAGATATATTTGCTCACAGGAAAACCCCGTCTCTCTCTCTCTCATTTTCCCCATGCTTCCTCTGGGGTGGCCGGCATCAGAATGGGGCAGTTACGGATGCGGGTGTGGGGAGCACCGGGAGAGGGCCGGGCCGGGCAGGGCAGGGCAGGGCAGGGCATCGCGGGCTGGGAAGCTGAAAGGCTCGCTGGGCAGTGACACAGGGCGTGGAGGTGGATGTGTGCATGGCAAGGTGAACATGGTTCCCTCCCGCGGCACTTGCACGCTGCTGGCATCTCACCGAGGTCGCGGGTCCACAGCCCGGGGCGCGGGGGCTGCAGAGCCGAAGGCTGCAGCAGAGGGCGTACAGGGTGTGTGTGCATGAACCTACCCCAGGTCAGATGCCACACCGACCCACCCGGGGAACCAGGGGCTCAGCCGCGCTCCAGAGGCCCATGCTCCGCAGCCCCAGGCTGCTGTCATCCGCCCCGGCCAAGGGCGAGCCCTGCGACCCCCGGGGCACACGGGATCCTGGCTTTTCTTTCCTTCGCGGCGGGGTGGACCTGGGCGGGGAAACGCCCGCGCCCGACACCGCCCCTCTGCCCTCCCTCCCCCAGCGCCGACCCGGCCCGGGGGAGCCAGACCGCAGGATAGCGGCCGCGGCTGCCAAGGAGACATTTTCTCCGGAGCAGCCAGGTTCCAGCGCCCTCCGCCAGCGCAGCTTGCGGGCTCCCTCTCTACTTTTCTCCAAACAGGCTCCCCGGCGGTCACGGGATGTGAGGCTGCTCGGGGATTGGGCGAGAGTTCCGCATATGGAGGCGCCCTTGCCGGAGCCTCTGGGCCTGGAGTGCTCTCGGCTGCTCTAACCCAGCCAGACTCGCCGCCCCGCGGGCTCTGCCCCGCCTGGACCGCCCTCTCACTTTTCCTGCAGTCAGTTTTTGTCCAGAGAGCATTCTAACAGCCTTGCGAGAGTCAGCCGTTTGAGTTGTAGTTAGCCATGCACAGGGCTTACTTGTAATTTCACAGGGAAAACAGTCATGTCTGTTTAGTTGTAAGGGTATTCTAGAGGACTTAGGTCATTCTCCCCATTAGGACAATGCAATATGTGATATTTACCAGCTAGGAAACAGCCCCTCTCGGGAGGGAGAAGGGTGGAGTAACGAGTTAAAAGCATGACTAGGAAGCTTCCTTCAGCTGGTGATTGACATCAGAGTGCTCACCAGATTTGGGTTACCTTCAAAGTGACACAGCTGTTGGAATGTTTTGTTGGAAGACTATCGGTGCCCTCAGTGGTGGGCTTCTAATAGTATTATATATTTTTGTGAAAATTATTCTTTTTGTTGGCATAGCTAGCTAGTGAGTGGGTCCCTTCACATTGCGAAGATGCTTCGGGGCTTAGATGTTGGAAAGAACACACCTTCGGCTAAGCACAGACCGAATTTAATTCTCAACTCTTGTGTTTGTTCTCTGAGCAAGTCACTGGCCTTCCCTGGGCTTCCATTTTCCTAGCTGTAAAAAGCGATTGCATGGAGTTCTTGCCAGGATTAAATGACTAGGCATATGGCAGTTACTCAGTGAAGATTAGATTTCATAATTAGGAAGAATGGTTTGGAGCTTTTACTGGTACTCCTTTTTTTTTCTTTCTTTTTAAATATTGGTGAAGTCATTTCCAGATGGCACTCAGCAGCTGAATTATGTCATAAACACACCTATCTTTCTGTCCAGTTAGGTCGATTTCAAAGTGTGTTTCCCTGGTTGTGTGCGGTGATGAGGGGCTTGCTTGTGTGTACATTAGCACCAAAGAATTTGTCGTTTTAAATATAATTCGTGCAACAAATTTCAAACTGGGAAGAATAGTTCTTCTGTTTAGGTGGTCTTACATGCCACTGTTTGCTTGTCCCACCTACATAGAGCATTTGTGAGAGGTGACAAAATGTTTCTAGATTAGAATGACCGATGTATTTACTCTGACTTGTAATTGGCATTCCTTATAGAATAAGGATACACCTCATATTACTTCAATTCACTTATATTCTGCTTACCAGTGTAGTCCACGGATACAGTTAAAAGCACTTACTTTGTGTGAGTCACTAAGATGCTTTTCTCAAGGAAACGCTGCTTCCTGTGCCTCTCACTGCTGTTTTGCTCTAAGTGTCGTACTATTTTGCAAAGGTTTTATTTCATGTTTGCTTAGTATTAGATGAAAATTTAAGCATCACTGTGGAAAAGATAATAGAAAAAATTATTAGTTAATGATAGAAATTGAGAAATAGTAAGCTCTCCTTTTCTCCTTTATTACCTCCTTTTGTTTGTTTGTTGTTTTTTGTTTTTTCAAGACAGGGTCTTTCTACTTAGCCCTGGCTGTCCTGGAACTCAGGGTTAGAGCTAGGGGCCTCAAACTCAGAGATCCGCCTGCCTCTGCCTCTCCAGTACTGGCATTAAAGGTGTGCACCCCACCCCTTCCCCCATAAACCACTATTTTTATGGAAATTATTCACTATAGCCACAGATATAAGTCCCTTGGAAGAAAAATTCCTTTGGTGCTGGGACTATTCTGATGAGAATGTAGGAAAGTAAGTGTTTTAGAAGAGATGATAATGGTGGTGTAGAAATTACACCATAGAGATAGAGATGAGTTGCTGTTAGGTATCAGAAACCTGGGACAAATCTGGAGCTGCTAAGTAGTGTGGAGGTTTGGGTTGGAGTTCCTGAAGCTGGACAGTTTACCTTAAGTGGTCATGCTGATGTCTTCATGATTTACTAACTAGATTCCTGATTGCTATCTTCCGGTTGTAAATCAGTTTATGGGTTGGGGCAGTTTACCTTAAGTGGTCATGCTGATGTCTTTATGATTTACTAACTAGATTCCTGATTGTTATCTTCCAGTTGTAAATCAATTGTTAACTAGTTCTGAAGGTTATCAGTTGTAAATCAGTTGTTTTACTAGTTCTTATATGCTGTGCTGCCCCTGAGGAGTAGCTTTGCCTGGTGACCATATGCCTTCTAGTCTAGGAGGTACAGTTACTTACCTGAGATGAACTACTTGACTTTTTCAGGCTTGTTTTCTTGTTCATAAAAGGGAGATTGTTAAGTACATCACCAGATTAATGGAATATGTATAAGCAGTAATTTGCAGACCCATAAAAGAAGTTTGAAGAGACAAAGAGTGACATATTTTAAGGTTGACATCTCATATTTGTAGCTGAGTTAAATAACTGATGAAGTATATAATCTTTGGTGTATTAAAATATTAGTACTTTGAAACAAAATTATACTCTTTATTTTTAAATTCATCTGTTTATAAACATTAATGTGATAGTATCCATTTTATAAAATACATGGATTTTTTTTGTCTTTGAAGTCATTTTTGTGCATCTTCCCCACAGAATCTCCCATAATATATTTGCATACTTAAAAGTGTATTACTGGGGACTGGGGAGATAGCTCAGTCGATAAGAGCTGTGCTGGCGAGGAGTCTTGAATCTGAATCGCCAGCATCTACATAAAAGCCAGAACTAACTGCACATGCCTGTAACCCCACCCAGCCTCGGGAACTGGAGACAGGCAGATAGATCCAGGGAGCTCCCTGGCCAGACAGTCTAACCGTATTGGCAAGCTTTGAGTTCAGTGAGAGATTCTGTCTCTTGGCAATGAGGCAGAAGACGGTAGAGAAAGAAAGACATGGATATCCTGTTGATGTCTTCCTCTGGCTTTCACAGGGGCTCAGGTACACTGAGACAGACACACAAAGTGCTTGATTGATTGCCTGTCCAACTCCTCTACTTCTTTACCTCCGTCCAACTTTCCATATCATACATCCTAGTGAACATAAAGTTCCGAGTGTTAAGTCTCTTCTGGCTCAAATTAGTGCATAATCAATTAAAACTGCAGTGTTGTGGTTTCCTCAGTAAAGGAGAGCTTTAATGAGAAGCTTGGAACCCTGGGAGTTTTACATTTTTAGGAAATGTTCTCTCTGTAAGATAGGAAACATGTTTGTTTAACGTGAGAGGACATTTGCTGCTAGGATGTTGGCTCGTTGCAGTCCTCCTTGCACACAGGGTCACAGTTTCCTGGGTTGCACTGAGTGGAGCTGTGAAAGTTCATGACACTCCTCAGACTTCTTCAGAGTGTAAACTTAGGTGCTCTTTATCTGGGTTTGACCATTTAGTGTCTTTCAACTACAGTTGATGATAAGAGGCAAAACCTCAGATATCGGGGAGACCACGGTGTAGCTTAGATTTCAGGTGAGTTTTCAGGCAGGTTATGTTGAGAAAGAACAGGAAACTTACAAGTCTGAAAGCTGAATTCCTTAAAACTCGGGGTGCTGGTGAGATAATGCAGTAGACAAAGTGTGTACCCCACAAAGCGTGAGGACCTCAGCTCAGGTTCTTGGCACCACAGAAAGGCCAGGGATGGTGGTGCATACCAACTTCTGGGAAGGGGAAACAACTCCTGGGGCTCATTGACTAGC